GCTAGTTTTTCAATGGAACTTTCATTGTTTTTCCCAATTTCAGTGACAATTTTTTTAATGGTTGAAATATGACCAAAAAAAAAAAAATCGAATGTAAATTCACACAAAAATAAATATTAGTAATTGAGATATTAAATCCACAAAAATTTCAATGTAATTTAATTTACTCACCATTGGAATAGCTAGTGAATCTTTTCAATAGAAGTTATACCAGTGAAATATCTGTTGGTATTTTCTGTGGAATACCTTACTGTTGGATTTTTCATTATAATATGGAATTTTTATATTCTTTCATAATCATTAAAATGTTTATGTAGTAATTTTTTTATTTATTAATTGTGTTTATAATTTTTCTTTTAAAATATATTAAAACATCTACTTTTTAGTCCATATAATTTTCTTACAAGTCACTCGTTATTTTATGTTGAGATTACCTACTAATTTCTCAATTGAATTAGTTTCCCTATATATTAATGGAAATAAGTATTATTTTTATATGTAATATAATATTTATATATTATATTAAAAAAGCTAATAACAAATAAAAATTATTTAAACTTACAATAATCAATTTATTTTTAAGAAAATTAAAAGCCCTAATACACATAGATTAAAGTACAAATAACTATTGTCAATAACCTAACATACACCTATAATTACTAAGCACAAAAAAAAGTAACAATCGTGCTCGTTTACATCGATATGTACAAGTTTTAAAAGTTTTATATTTATATTTATTAATTATAACATTTTTAGTTATTGCTTTTTTTCATATGTATTAGTAAGTATTACAACTTAATTATATTTTTAATATTATGTATCCGATTTAATATTTTTTTACTTTATATTGTTCTTTCATATATATATACATATAACTTTTAAATTTGTTAAAAAAAATGCATAAAACTAAGTATATAACTTTTTTTGGTCATATGTCTTATTATATCTATTATAGTTGTACATCTTTATATTATATTATGTATAATTACAATTTTCTAATTAATATTATTATCAAATATTAAAAAAAAATATTTTGTACATTTTTTAATAAAGTTGATTTATTGTAATAATACATATTAATAGATAGGTGAGTAATGGTACTATATCGATATAAATTCTTAGTAAAAATAATTAATTTTCAACGTATATAGGCATATCATGATTCACTATATATTTTTAATTAATTTAAAGATAATGATGGATAAAAGTACAAATAACTATTTTCTATCACCTAAAATTTACACTTAGAATTAATAATAACAAAAAATTAATAAGCGTTTAATAACACCTGAATTGCGTTAAGAAATTGAATCCACCAAAAAGCCAATATTAGCTCTCTTAATTCCTCTAATAGTGACTCAACTCGTTTACATCGATAAGTACAAGTTTTAAAAGTTTTATCTTTATTTTTATTAACTATAATATTTTATTGTTACTTTTTAATATTTATTAATAAGTGTTACAACTTTAACGGATTTTTAATATTATTTGTCAAATTTAATATTTTTTTCCTTCATATTGTTATTTTATATGTTTACATATGTGTATACATATATATATATATATATAACTGGTTTTTACACTTAAAAAAATAAGAAAAAATGAAGTGGACAAGAACAAAACAAAAAAAAAAGTTGTGGAAATAAATAAAAAATACGTATTCTGAGAATACGTTTTTTTTTGTAATTTTCATTGAAAAACGTATTTGTATAATACGTTTTTCATTGAAACACGTATTCTGAGAATACGTTTTTCAATGACAATTTGTAAAGAAAACGTATTCTCAGAATACTGGTTTTTGATTTTGGTCCAGATTTTTTTTTTTTTTTATTTGTGTCCACTTGTGTTTTTTTTGTTTTTTATATATAAATTTCCCATATATAACTCTTATATTTGTTAAAGAATACATAAAATTAAGTATATAACCTTTTGGGTCATATGTCTTATTATATATCAATTAATTGTACACCGTTCTATTTTATTATATATAAGAACAATTTTCTCATTAATTACATGAAAATAATAGGCTGGGTTTTAGTATTATACATTTTCATAAAATTATTCTAACCTTATTTTAAGCAAATAAATTGGGTTGATTAGAAGTTTCGATTGCAAAACAATCATTCAACAATTAATCTCTCATACTATTACAAAAATGATTACTTTTTATAGGTTATTTTGAAAGAAAAAAATAGTTTCTTTACTTTATGGGTGTTATGAGGACAACATTATGGATTTCAATTTTATTACTTATAGTTATTACTAATAGATGAGTAATGGTGATATATGATATAATTATTGGTAAAAATAATTAATTTGCTGCGAATAGGCATATACGATTCTTTAGATATTATAATTAATTTGTAGAAAATTGTATGATCAAAATAAAATCATGCTGCTCAACTAATATCCCAATCGACATGAAAAAAATTGGACCGGGTTTTAGTATTATTTAATTTCATAAAATTATTCTAATCTTATTTTACGTAAAGAAATTGAGTATATTAAAAGTTTAGGTTGCAAAATAATTATTTAAAAACTTATTTCCCATATTATTACATAATTTATTCTTTTTTTATATGTTATTTTGAAAAACAAATATTTATATAGTTTGTGGTCGTTATGGGGACAAACAACATCGATTTTAAATATTTTACTTATAGTTATTAATAAACTTGTAAAATTAAATAAATATTGTTGAAACAGTTATCTTATTTGATAGGATACTTATGGTTAAACTCTTAAATTTTATTGAAAAAGTCATAAAAGTATTTAAGAATCTTGAATAATATCAATAAATAAAATATTTTATTTATAAAATTTTGAATTATAATCGTTTATAGAGCGCTCAACTTGAAAATTAATTGCTCAAATAAAATAATAATAATAATAATTAAAATTTCATGAACATTTTTATTAATAATTGAATGAAAAATTTATATATTTTAAGTCTTATAATTAAAAAATTACGCAACTTGATATTAATCACGTAATGGTCACGTAAAGATTCGTTAACTCTATTAGTTTTGCGACCAAAATTTGAAAATACAAACCACTAAACAATGACGATTTTTGTGGGATCAAAATTCAATCCAATAAAACTAAGGTGCAATCTAATTTTAGTTTTAAATACAAGAGTTTATTTTTCTTAAATAATGATCTAGTTAAATGAATTCTTTGATTTTTCTAGTTTGTTAGATTATGTATATATTTCACGTGTGCATGATTTCAGTAATATTTGAGGTATCTTCTCTTGATTAAAGTTATGTATGTATCTTGTAAATTATTTATTATATAAAATTTACCCCTCAACTAAGTTATCATGTTTTACCAAGATTTATCATTTTGTTAAAAGATAGGTAAACAAATAGTTGAGAATATTTAGATCTTTTATAAGTATTTATTCTGTTGTTTTTGTTGCATAATTTTTTGTTTAAATAAATTTTATATATTAAAATCATTAAATATGATTACAATTTTATCATCGAAATTATATTAAAATAAGGACGTTATTCAAAACAAAAATTCAATATCATTTCAAAACTTTGTTGTTTGGGTTAATGTTGAGTTGATTTTTTAGAGATATGGAAGAAAACGGTTCGAGAGATATGTGAAAGAAACCGAATTCTTGAAGAATAATAGTGTGAATATTGTGGTTGATTTCTAAGAGATGTGGAATGTTTTATTCATTTAATTGTATTAAATGAATAAAATTTCAAATGAGTATTAGTGCATTACTAATTTGAGATTAAGAATATGTCAAATAAAAGGGTTTTTAGGTAAATATTAGTTATTAATAAAAAAAATATAAGATAGGTTATATATTATGTTATTACTAATTTACCATTAAAAATATACCAAAGTAAGAGTATATTAGTGACTTCTTTCTTTAACAAAAACACTCATCCTTTTATAGTAGTATTCTGAGTTACCATTTTAGTTAGCACAACATTTAGACATAGAATATAATAAAACATTTGGACTAAATATTACATAAGATTATTTTGTAGATATTGTTTACAAGAACCAATTTGTTTTGGTGGACTTCTGTGGAAGAGTTATTTTTTTTTCAACAGCTACTTAGCTAAGAGAATTATAACAATTTCTTCAAAGACCACCTCAATCTCCATCATTTTTAGTAAATTTAGAATTATTTGAGTCATACTTTGGGCGTGGATCGTAATAGTTTTCAATGTTATGCTAGTTTTCAATGTTACGTTGTTATTTATTTAATTAAATATTAATGATTAACTAAAAAATATAAGATTTGAAGATTATTAGTGTATTACTAATTTGTCATTAAAATTAAGTCAAAGTAAGGGTTTTTTAGGTAGTTCATTTGTTAATTAAAAATATAAAATAAGATGAGTATTATTGTATTACTAATTTACCATTAAAAATATGTCAAAGTAAGGGTTTTTTGGGCATATCATTATTTTTACAAAATCACTCATCCTTTTATAATAGTATAGATAGATAGATATAGATAGATAGATAGATAGATAGATATAGATATAGATAAGTTCAAGAAAAGATTTTAAGATGGAAGTCCTAAAATTTGCAAAATCATTATCAAATCAAACTAAATATTACAATATTAATTATTTCTAAATTTAAATCACGTACAAAATTGTAAATAAAATGACAAAATCTTCACGTCCTATACACGCGCCATTTTCGCGCGTCAGTTCTTCCTTTTCCCTTCACCCTTTGGACTCTCTTCTAAAAGGAGTCCAAACGTCCAATCGTTTTCTTCTTCTCCATTACCTTTCTTTTTCACACACACACAGTGCGCAGCCGAGCAGTCAGCCATGGCGTACAACCAGACGGCCGCCGCGGACATTGACATCATCGACCACCAGCTACCCTACGACAGCCACAACACCTACGACGTCCTCTTCTTCGACGATACCGTCTACACCACCGTCACCCACGATCCCGACGTCGTTGTCGACTGGATCTCCGAAGTCGAGTCCGTCCATCACCGCCGCCTCCACCACCTAGTGGTAGGACTCGACGTCGAGTGGCGCCCCTCGTTCAACCGCAACTACAGCAACCCCGCGGCCACCCTTCAGCTCTGCGTCGGCCGCCGCTGTCTCGTCTACCAGCTCATCCACGCCCCCTATATTCCCAAATCGCTCGTCGACTTCCTCGCGAACCCTAGCTACACGTTCGTCGGAGTCGGCGTGTATCAGGACCTGGAGAAGATCGAGGAGGACTACGAGCTCGAGTCCAACAACAACACGGTGGATTTGAGGGAACTGGCGGCGGAGAGGTACGGGCGTCCGGATCTGAATAGTGCGGGGCTGAGAACCCTCGCCGGCGTTGTGCTGGAGAGGGACGTGGAGAAGCCGAGGTGGGTTACGATGAGCAGATGGGACAATCGGTGGCTGACGCCGGCTCAGGTTCAGTATGCATGCGTTGATGCATTTGTCTCCTTTGAAATTGGTAGGATTCTTGATGCTTCTTCGTTTTAATCTTCTTCATCTGCTTCTTGGTGAATCTGCCCCCAAAAAAACCTAGAAATTTGGGGGTTGATTTGTGAATAATTGGGATGATTGACTTCTGTTGACTTGGTATGAGCATGTGAAGGAAATGGGTATGCAGATTGATGTTTTTTTTTTTTTTTTTTGGTTTTTTGTGGCTTGATGAAATTTTTTATCTCGTGTCTGGCTGTTTGAAATTTTATATTACTTATGTATTTACTTGTGTGTGTATGTGTGTGACTGTGTGAAGTGATATCCTACCAACCAAATTTATTTGGTTTTGCATTCATTTGGGCTTTTGAAGTGTTTATTCTTATGTTTCATGGTTGACTAGAACTATTTTGGCTTGTTTATAGAATTTTTGTTGAGAATATCATTTTTTTACTTTCATATGAACTTTTTGGAAAGCCTTTAAACTTTTTCACCCAAATGTAGTGATGGGAGTATGGGACCTGTGTTCTGTCAACTCTATTTACTTCAAAACATCTCTTTTCAATTACAAGCTAGGAATCACTTGCATTAGATGTCTCGTATTTTACCAGAGAACACTATGCATGAACAATGGTGATTAACAACTTCATAAGGTGCAAAATGTAAGCTCTACCAACACTTGCTAGTTCGAATTATGTACCTTTCTTTTTGTTCACTTAGTAGAAAACAATGTAATAAAACCATTAAAGCTATCTTAACTAGAATCGCACTACTTATAAATTTTATTCTAGTCACCTTCACTCTAAGACAATAATAGAAAATCCGAGTCTTCGTGTTCTAACTCAAATTATAGTGGATCGAGATACATGCTTGCATTTATTCAAAGTACAATCAGTAACTGTCTTTTTTCTAATTTAAACTCGAGTTATCCCTTTCGTTTTTGAATTTGCACTTGAAATACAAGTTCGACAAGCTTCCAAGTGATCATACTGTCTTGCTTTCACAATCTGTCCCTTTCAAAGTATTTGACAACAGGTTTTGGATAGCTTAATCTATTCTTGAAATTATAGTGCTGAACATTTTAGCTTCATGTTCAGCATATTGCCTCTGTTTTTCTTTCAACTCCTTGCGTTTGATCTTCACTTCCCTGTTATTTCAAGAAAACAGTAATATTCGAGAAAGGAAAAGAAAAAACAAAGATTTTTCTTGAAGAAAGCTTTGGAAAAAGAATAATCTAAAGAAGAGAAATCAAAAAGCTGGATTCACATACCTGTTGTTTGGATCGAGCAATAGAGCTTGATTAATATCCCTCTCTGCTTTCTCTATATCCGATGTTCTCATATATGCTTCTGATCTTCTGAACAGAGCTTTTATGTTGTGTGGGTCTAATTCTAGGACCTGTTGCCGAGTAAAACCAAGTGAATTCCTCGAATTTCTTTATCCAATAGTTTCGGAAACTGCCTCTAGAGTTTGGGATAGTTACATAAACTACCTCTAGTGTTTAGCTTAACTATGAAAACACTCCCATTATCTCTCAAAAGTACAAATATCCCGCTTAACAAATGTTTCTATTTCACAATCTGCACCTGCTAAGGGGTAGATTTAAAAGGTGCAGGGTTAGTTTTTGTAATTATCCAAATATCTACACATGAAGGGACTATAGAGTATAGAGAAGTGAATAGGACCTTGGTGCATAATCTCGAGACTTCTTGATATTCTCCGAGTTTAAGTTTGCAAGCGGCCTCGTTCAAATAACACGACAGTCGCAAACCTTTTGCTTGAGCCTTTTCATCATCGCTAAATGAATGATTGTATTCAACGTATTTTGAAGCCTGCAGAGTGGTTAAAAGTGATCAAACTATGTTAGTATGAGGAACTATAACTAGATATAAATAAAGGTGAGTACCATTTGAGGTCTGAGCTACAAGCTCGTGGTTACAATTAGCTTTTATCGATACTTTAAGAGTTTTTGTGTGTAGTTTTTAATTTTACTTCTTTTTCATTCCTAAATCACATTCCTTATCATACTTCTTGGAGGCAAGCAGAAATTTTCCAGCTTTGAAAAGTATATTTCCATCATCCTTCTTTGCTTGGCATGTGTGTATTCTTTCTTGTGCATCCATCTTCCAAAACGGTTTTTCCTGAAAACCCAAATCACTCCCACTTTTAAAAAGATCTCGGCTAATTTGTCGAAAAGATCGTGAGTTGTGCAAGTACCTTTGAAATTTAGTGTGAATTGCAAAGAGACCAATTAGTATTATTTTGTGATAGAACACTAAAACATAATTAGCTAGATTCTACCTTTGTGAAATCAATTAATTTGATTTCATAAAGCAATGCATTTGAAGTACCCAATCCTCCAACTTTAGAGAGGTCCAATAAGTCATAGCTGATTTTAATGATAGCTTCTTCTCCTTTTTTCATGGTGATTACAGCCTTGTCCAAGCCCTCCTGGACTTGTTCTGCATATGAATGTAAAGAATTAGGTCATATCTACCTCATTTTTTTTCCCTCCATTTTTCTGGCATAATTCGAAGAACATGGTAAATTGATTGAATAAGAAAAGCATTAGAGAACACAAAAAGGAACAAAAAATGAAATAGTTTTGCACCCTCTCCACACACGTATTCGAAGGGTTCCTCATCACATCCTCGTTTTTCCAAGATTGTGCCATCTTCAAGTTTGCCTACGTAAACCACTGCAAAAAGCATAATGTACAGACTACAATCGTAATTACAAAGCTCCACTCTTAAGGATGAGATGTACAAACTTTTTAATTAAACCCTCCGAACAACAATGAAGGAAAAAAAATGTCGGTTAGGCGCAGAATACCTTTTACAACAGATCCTTCGTTAGGACGATCAAAAGCCTCTCCTTTCTTCATTATTTTCTTCAATATTTTGTCATCTCCATTGACATCGACAACAGTTCTCCATAATACCAGTTCGAGATGAATGGTCAAGTTTTGATACTGTGGATATGTACTATTAACCGTTTGTGTCCCACTTTCGTGATGCATAAGGCCATCTATAAAATGTCGATGAATTTGAAAGTAAAATATGGTGAAACTTATCATAATCTGAAAGGCAGTTTTTGGTACTGCATAATATTTGGATATGATATTATTACTTCAATAAAAATAAATCAAACTTCAAACTTACAGTTGAGCTTCACAGAAATATCTGCCTTTTCCCCTTTCCTCATGGTTTTCACAGCTCTGCTCATTGCAGGACAGAGATGACCTGATTAAGAGTCCCACCAAAATCCATACCCATAATTTTATAATTCCCTAAAGGAACCAATAAGCTAGGCCAAAAAAGGGGTAAAGAAGATATTTTCCTCACCGGTTTTTTACTGTTTGATCAACACACACCCTTGTTGGTGTGTGTGTATGTGTGATCTAACGGTAAAAAAAAATCCGGTGAGGGCAAATCGAAGCTTCCCAAAAGTTGGGGCTAATTATGAGACCTTTGCCTTAGTTAGACCAAACTTCAGAAGCCCAACTCACCACTTGTTAGTGAGAACTCCAGGCCTTCATTGGATTCAGATATGACTTTCCCATTCTCGCATTTTGCAACATACTTGACTACAAGAAGGTAAAGATCAATGAATTGGTTTTTTCTTTTTTCATGTGTCTACAACAAATAAAATTGCTCGCGAAAATTAATAAAACGATGAATATATAATTGCTCAAAGGAAATCCTAAAACTATAAGAGCAAAGTAAACTTACATTTAAACAAACCTAACGGTTAGAATATCATATTTTTCTAACAGATATGCATACTTTCAAACTGAAATGTCATACTTTAAAAAACAACATAAACAAAAACATGTCATTTCATCACATAAGTATGCATTTCATTTCAAAAGTATGACAGGTCGACCCGCCTAACGGTTAAGCTGCTCCTTCAAAAATTCAAGAAAAAACAAAATAGTGAATACCCAAGACTTCATCATCATTGCTTGGAGTGGCCCATCCTTCCCCTTCCATTATTATCTTCTTCAATATTCCTCCATCACCACTTATGTCTCTAATGGGGTACCAAGAAATTAGCTCCACTTCAAAAATGAGAGTTGAATTCGGAGGAATTAAAGGAGAGAACCCAATTTCTCCATAGGCCAATTCTGGTGGGATTGTGATAATTGACCTTTCACCTTTTCTCATGGTGGCAATGCCTTCATCCCATCCTTTTATAACTTCACCTATCAAATTGATTTTCAATTATAGTAATATTTCACTTTGCTCAAGTTAAAAGCCAATTCTTAGACCTTACCTCATTTTCAGAAGGCTTAAATTTCAAAGTTCAGCATGACATTTGTCTTTTGTTTCATATAAATAAAAGTGCCACCTTCTATGAGGAAGCATTTGTAAGAAAATGAAAGGTTTCTTGTGGAAAAGAACATACCGCGGCCTAATTTGAATCTGAAAGGGCTCTCTTTTTCTCGATTCGAATCAAAATACTCTCCTTCTTGCAGGCCGACACTGTAACGAACTGAAACAAGAAACAGAACAAACTTCCCCTGATCTTATATACAAGTGAAAAAAATACTGTCAAAAGTACTTTCCGAAAATACCCCTTTTCGAAATAACGTAAACAAACCGAAGATATCACACCTTCGACTTCATCGCCTGGGATTGGGGTCTGCCACGAAAGTCCCTTTCGAAGTATCGTTTTAGTCAAACTCGAAGATTGTACACTTGAATCCTGAGTTGTAGTTTGTAAACAGATTGGTTTTTTATTGCAAAAAATTGGTTTTTCCTTATCCATTTATATTTGAAGAGGAGAAAAAAAGAAAAATAATAATGGAACTTTAGCTAAAAAGGGGCTCTTTTTTTCTTCTTGGTTTTGTACACAGAGTGAGAGATAAGGATCTATTGGTGCCATTACATTTTCAGTTGAAGATAAGTGTAGTTTCCCTCCACTGGTTTGTGTTTCAGTTGAGATTTTTTTTTTTTTTNCAAAGGATTTAAGCCTATTGGGCCAGATTGATTAAATAGCGTCTACTTGGAAGGGAAGTTGGAACTGTGAACTCTGGCCCGATGGTTCAAGCCCAATTAATTCAGTTGGAATTTGGAATCAACTTCTCTTATTAATGCAAAGTTTTCTACGTGTCATTTTCTGGCAATTCGGAATTCTGAATTTCAATCATTATTTATCATTCATATCATAATGGTTTGGAGTAAGGTTGTCCGCACCAAAAAAAAGAAAAGGAGTAAGTAAGGTTATCCTAGGGGATGAATTTTAAAATAATAAAAAACTTAATTAATTTAAATTATTGCTTATTTTTATTTTATGAACATTAATATTTTTTTATTTGTATCTATTTTTCTTTCATGATATACTGATTAATCATCTTTTGATTATTTTTTATTTTTATTTTCATAGTGCATATAAAGTAGACAAAAAAGAATCCATGTTTATAACCAAAAATTAAATTTAGATAAATATAATTGAAACAATAGAAGTATAAAAAAATAAATTTGCCTATTAATGTAGATATAACTAATGCAGTCATATGATATGTTTTAGAAAATTTATTGTCATTTTAAAAAATGTTACTTATATACCGAAAAATGTGACTGTAATAAAATTTTAGAAATTAGCATGGTCCCCGTGTAACACACAATATTATTTAAAATAAAAGTAATAATACATTTTTTAAAATATTAAAAAATATTTCAATAAACGGTTAATGATATGAAAATTTTATACAAAAACAATGAACATTTTAACAAAATAATGATCATTCCATACCAATAAACTTCTTAGGAATTTCCATAAAAATATTCAAATATGTTTATCCCGTTAAATAAAAAATAAATATTTCCTTTTTAGAATAATATTACGCTTAGTAAAAAAAAACTATTATTTTTTATTGGTTAACATTATCTCACTCACGTTTTTGTATCTTTTAATTTACTATCAAAGATATTGGCTTGATTATCGGTTATATATAATTTTTTAACATATAATAATAATAGACCTATTCATATATACATGCATGCACAACTGCAATCTGCAATTAAACTAACTTGCACAAAATAAGTAAATGAAAAATTAACAAAGTTACCTCCAAGTAAAGTTACCTCTCTCAAAAGTCAAAAGAACAATAGAATATTCTTTATCCTTCCTAAGGAAAAAAAAAAAAATGAACTTTCACCAGTCCCAAAAAGTAAAAATATTTCTTTTTGGAGAAATTATAGTTAATGAAAGATAGTGATGAGGGAGATTATAAAAATTGTCTTCACTTTGCAACAATATCTTCATTTTTTAATGACAAAATTTATGTGGAAAATCGACGTTGCATATTTTTTTTTTTTTTTAGATAAATA